CTGAACTTCGATACATGAGTTGTCAGTTTGTATTGTATCGTACAACGTTTTAGAGTGGCAAAAGTCTTTCATTTTTTTTTCTTCTTCAACCTATGGGCTTATGGACTTCTTTTAGACTATACAAAATTTGAACATTTTAACCAAAGGGAACATAAAGGTTTTGTAGAAGTGACTCGGTACCTTACGTTATGTTAACTAGGTTTGCTTTGGAATGAACATCAAGTGTTACTTCTGAAAAAGCTAATTGAATATGGAAAAAGTTGCTCTCTTAAAGGAAACTGAGGGAAAATTCCGAGTTGTCTGTCGGCTTTTGTCTTTCTGCCGTCGATTTTATCATAAAGAGTACAGTGTGATTTTAAAGAAGAGAAAGGGAGCAGAGACGCTCCTATCTTTTTATCCCCAACGAAAGATTACCTTTTTGTTATGATTGATATAACGCCTTAGCCAGCCTGTCGGTAGACGTTCTGACAATGACAGCTTGTCCCTGGGGGAGTCACAGACGACGCGCACAGGGACTAAATTGCGCTCTGCCGGATTATTTTGAAAAAAAAAAAGTAAAAGCACTTCTCTGTAAAAAGAAAGGCGGCTGCGGGTAGCGTGACTTGTGACGATTACAGAGGCGGGCCGGAACGGGAGAGAAAAGGCTCGGCTGCTCACTTGAAATGAGGAAAAATGTCCAGCGCTCGTCCAGCCGAGGCCACACGGCCACACCAAACTTACACTGGAATGATATAAAAGGGTGGCTCAGAAAAAATATCGGCCGATCATTTCAGAACATGACTGTCTTTCGAGACCACCGGAGACTATGATGCTCTGCGCGTGGCGAGCACAAAAGAAAAAAAGATTTGTTTCCCAATTTAACGTTTTTTTTTAACATAGACATAGAAAACAATTTAAGTGCAGAAGCAAACAATTTGCTATAAGAAGCAAAATTGTGCTGCCTTAACTAACGCGACGCTATAGTAACAATGCAACTTTTCTGAGTACTAAATGAGGGTTATTTCTCACAACAACCTCATCTGTTATCGTAGCGACGTGTAAGTTGTGGTGGCAGAGGCAGAAACATTGGTTCCCATAGCCACTGAAAGTCTTAGTCAGATATCTTGCTCTCAGGAGAACGAGATCAGTGACACCAAAAGTATCACTCTCCAAAGAGCGACTTACATAACTTTCACTCAATTTGCGTCATAATTTCCGATCCTCACCTATATTGTTAAAAAAATTCTGCAATTTTACAGGAAATGTTTAGCTAAATTTTGGGGCAGGTGGTGTCGTAAACCATTTTTACAGCGCAGTTGTAGAAATACCATGAAACCCATAAAACATTGACACTTTTTTACGTTTTCAAGGTAGCGTTGTAAAATTACAGAACAGCTGTCAGACTACAACGAATTCGTCATATAAATCTTTCGGAGATTATGAATTTTTTATCGTTTCAGTATGATAATTTGGGTGTTTCTCATGCATTTATCGTGAGTTTTTTCCTCATCTGAGGACGTTTTTTTGGATTCTGTGTACAAATTTAAGCCCGGACCCACACGGAAAAAAGACGTCTATTAGATGTCTAATATGCATCTTTCTGTAGACCCCCAGTGATCTATTAGATGTATAATCGTGTCTACTACTAGACGTCTACAACTGATCGAGTGTCTACATTTACAACATCTATTAGACGTCTTTTTGTCGATGTTGAATAGATATCTACTGATAGACAAACCAAAGACGAGTATTTTACGAGAAAAATAAAAATTTGACATGTTCTCGAGCCAACTGACCACTCCCTCATGGCTCTATATCCACCTTGATTAGCTTTGGACGTTCGAACATATCACCAGTGCTGGGATTAGAACCCTCAACCTTTGGGTTCGAGAGCGCGAACGCTACCCCTCACCCATCGGTTGCTTCTAGGAGGAGCTGAGTTGGAAGATGATATCCTTCTACAGAGATGTCTAGACGTCTACGCACATCTATAGATTGTCTACTTCTAGACGGTGTATGAGAGATGACTCGGAGAGTTACCTAGACCTCATTGTCTTTCGGTAGATGGTAGGAAGATTATCAATAGATTTCTAGAACTTGCATGTTTTAAGACGTAGATCTTCAAGACTTTGGGTAGATATCTACTAGACGTATTCGTTGGGTTAAAAGTAGACCTAGACGTCGTAGACTGGTGGCAGATGATCTATAGATATCTTCATATCGACAGAAGTATACATAGATCCGATATACAACCTCAAGACTATCTATCGATGTCTACAGTATATCTATACATAGATATAGACAGTTTTTACGTATATTAGATGCTCTATTGACGTCTATAGACGTCTCTAGACCGAATAGACGAACGGTAGACCATCTACCACCATCTATAGATGTCTATTTTCCGTGTGGGTAAGCCCGCTTATATAGCTTTTAAGCAAAAGAGCGGGCTAAAAACAGTAAAGACATGGAAAATAATCCCCACATTGTTGGCATTTTGTGCATTGCCAAAATGTTGGCAATGACTTCATCGCCAAATTTGGCAATGAAACTCCATTTCCAATATTTTGGCAATGAAACTCCATTGCCAATATTTTGGCAATGAAACTCCATCGCCAAGATTTTGGAAGTAAGCAACAGTCCAATAATTTGAGGATTGTATTCATCGTCTTCACTGTTTTCCGTTTGGCTATTTTCCATTGCCAGTTTTTGGCAATGGCCTCATCGCCACTGGGTTGGCAATGAGCGGCCCATCGCCACTGTAGTGGTAGTGAAAATGTCCCATCGCCAACTCGTTGGCATTGCCACATTTGGTAGTGGTTTCATCGCCAAATGATATGCAGTATACTTACTTTTTTAACTAGGCATGGACCTGGGGCGTTTGGGTCTTGGTTGTACATAGCACGGAACCATTGAGGCGAATCTTTTCGGCAATCAGAGCAGTTATTCTTAGTTTTGTTAAAATGAAAGGCATTTAACTTCCACTGATTGTTAGAGCGAATATCTGCAATCACACTTCCCTACAAGACAAAGCCACATTGTGTTGGTACATCATTTTTTTTTGTGAACGCAGTTACACCGTCTTACAGTATTTGGTAAAGTGAAATAGTGTACCCATCGTCTGTCGTCGTAATCTGTTTTGAACGTGCTGTTGCCATAGGCTCGTTGCTTCTGATATGGTGCCGCAGGATTAAAATGGCTGAAGCGCATATTTACGCTGTCGAAGTAGTCCAAGTTATCCGGGCAGTCATAAGCGCTTATTAGTACGACCATGTAAGGACCCTGAAACGCAAGGGAATTTTTCTCCGGTTATACGGGCAGAGCACATGATCTTACACTCCAAATGCCGGGGAACAATTTTCGTCTATTGCAAGATGCATCTGTGAGCACATCTCCCAAGATGAGCATTTATGCTTTTTAACGACGGTTCTCGGCATGATTGGTACACTGTAAATCATAGTGTGATACTGACTGCACATTTTTCGTGATGCAAAAGTATTACACAATACAATGATATCATCGCAGAAAAAGTACATTAAAATCATTGCTTGTATTTGAGATGGCCCAAGGTGACCCTGGAGGTGCGAACGGACAAAAAACCTTGGTCAACAGTGCTCAAGAAGAGCGAGGCATGTAAAGTTAATCACCTAAATGGAGCAAGAAGAAAAATCTCGCTCCTTTTAGGCGAGATATTTGACTCTAGTATATGAAATTTGCTACAGTAGGGAAATAGCATAACGTGAGCGAAGCGATCCCGAAAAGTCTGAGGCGTAAGGGGCACATTCATTGCCGTTCGGGGCGCCTAAAACTGTCCCATACCCACTTAAAAGTTCCGAGCCGAATGCAGTGCGAAGATCGCACTTCACGAGTGCGAAAGCTCCAAATCGCACCAGACGGTGCGAAAAGTACTCTTTTGCTCTTCTGAGTGCGAAAGTTGATCATCAAGTGCGAAGTCACAAAGTGCTCGCGCGGGTATGTGCGAAAATTTTTCACTCACACGAGGTGCGAAATTTCTTGGTCCTCATTGGTCAAGTAAGTCGGGTAAGTACGTCTATAAGACATTGATAATGCCCAAAGTGTATTTCTCTGCTTTTAAAGAAGGGTGTCCAGTGGAAAGGTACCGAAGTGATTTGTGGACATACGTATACGTTAAGTTTGAAAAAAAAAAGTTCCGTCAAGGCACGGATCGTGGAAGCAGATGATACGTATGTAATGATCAAGCCTTGATTTATATTATTTCAGCACGTGAAGTGAAGGTTTCAAAGATCTATAACACCCACATTTACAGAATTTTGTTGCAATTTATACCGCTATTTATATCAAACATCAGTTCCCTACTGCCGTTTTATCTCGCGTTTTATTCTCCTTCAGAAATGGGTGGCTCTAGTTCGCTACGATCAAGCAGTCGTTAAAACCCTCGTTGAAGTTGAAGTGTTTAGAATAGCATCATATGGTAGCGCCCGGGCGGCCGAGCCGAACCGTGCCAAAATCCGAGCTGCGCTTCCAGCCGAGCCGAGCCGGGCGCGAGGGAGCTAGAAAGGAGGGGGGACGGAGGCTGACGCTGCGGAGCTGACGGCGGTGGCACGGCGGGCGGGCCACCACCAACAACCAGCCGCCCCCTGTATATCTTCTACTGGTGACGTCACGCCTTGTGCCTCTCTGCACACCGCTTCATGACAGTACAAGCAATGACACATTTGACAAATCATTCTTATTAATTTCAGTTATTTGAAATGTTCAAAGTTTCAGTTACAAATGTATCATCTGCTAAAAAGGTGGGGGGACTGACTGACAATGAAAAACAAACCACGGTGCGAGATTCCTCATGGCAAAAGAAAACAAAAGCGATTAATGCCCGAAGACGATCGGAATCGAAATGGCAGACTTATTACTGATTCCCCCCAAATTATGGATTTGGCTGTGAGCACTCGACATTTCAGTTTTGATTTTGCAAGAGGCATCCAAATCTACACTCGTCAAAACATTTAGCGGTCCACTTTTTTACTCCTGGATTAAGTTATCTCCCCTAGCACCTAGGAAGTCCAGATGTGACATAGACATGCATCCATGTGTGTAGTTTAACATCCTCGAGCGCGAATGTCGTGCGACCCCCTTCACGCCGTGAATAATGATCACAAGGGTAGAAAAGTCGAAGGAAACGTGAAAGTTTGGGTTAGCGGGGGGTGCCGGAAGTGGCCAAAATTTGGTGTCCGGGTGTCGTAGGAATCAATGTAAAGGTTTTTTGCCCGTTTCACCCCCTCCGACAACCACCCCCTACCCCCAGTTACCCCCACCCCCTAAAAAGGGGTGTTTTTTTTTTTTTTGGAAACATCGTACGCTACGGAAAATCTTGTGGTTTGAGGTGGGCAACGGCAGCGTAGTGCCCGTTTCACTTTCGCACCCCCTGTAGGGCTGTACTACCCCTAACTGTCCAACCCTTACTTGAAATTTCCCCATTTTTCACACTAAGGAGGCCTGGATAGGTCTGAAAACTTCAGTTGAGAATGTGTAGGACGGACTGAGAAAGTCCCTGGTGGAAAACGCGACGATTTTCAAAAACTACCCTTAGGGTAGGGTAGGTCGTTCCATTTTTGATGTCGAGAACACCGATCTGTCCAGAACGCAGGTAAAATGAAAGTATACGT